TGCGATGAGCGTGAAATAGCGCGAGCACATTCCTTTCCCCCCAAACAATTATTATATTCAGATGACTCCGCAAGGACAGCTCCTCTTTTCTACTTGTATACTGGCTTAGAGACCCAGCAGCAACGAGGAGTTGTCACCCCTGCAGCTCCACCGCACTGTTACCTTGCGAACGGAGCTGTCGAATCTCTCCCCTAGAATTAATGTGGAGGTGCAGTGTAGGGTTAATATGGACATACACGAAAAAAGAAAGCGCATATTTAACAGAAGTGAGAGAAGGTCGAGACGCGTGTGTTCTATCTAAGCTTGCCTCCTGCCCTCACGAAAATGAATTCCTTCGCCTCGAAATGGCGACTGAGGCTTCATTCACGTTGAAGGACAATGCAGTCCCTGTCTGCTCATTACCAAGCAATAAAACGTTGTGTTCGACACTGCAGAAGTACAACTGGGGGGGAAATTGCTCTGCAATTGACTATGACTCAGGTCCCTTCTATGTGCCAGGGGGAATGGCAAGAAATTCGTCGTTACTCAAGTACCACCGAAATGAGTGTATCCGCGTTGTCTAAGGGGCATTCTTACCCATAATAGACTACCACTCTTCCCCTCCGAGACGCTTTCGGAAGGCGTTACGATGCGTGAAAGTCTCACCCTATTTGAAAAAATCAGATTAAGTGGAGTCTAAATTTAATCGAGTTATGCAGGTCCCACGACTCATTTGCTCTGAATTTCTAGCGATCGTGCTCGCCTGAAAGTGGCTGCATGTCCAGCCCCAGCAACAGGCCACGATACTCTACCAGGGAATAGTGGCATATTTGAACTGCGGCCAAGATGTTAGTATATTATTGTGTTCTATTTATTTTTATTTGTACAGATTTGGCCGAAACCTGTTGCTTCTTCCGAGGATGAGCATCCAGCGTTGGCTACCGCAGCGGCTTCACTGCGCGCGCGTGACAGCGCACTAGGAACTCGGCGCAAATTCTAGCGAATAGCTAAATAAATAAGTATATAACAATAACAGTCTATATATAATGGCTGTCTACATCAAACAAAGCCCTCCCCGGGAGGGAGTACGCGGGGGGTGGGAGGACTTCAAGTGGGATTCTCTCAAGACGCAGACAAACGCTGACCGCGATTATTACCTCGGTGAGTGGGCAGATCGCGGTTTATCCCTGCTATTATCTCACTGTGTGCATTTGAGTGGAATATAATTATTGTGGGGGGTTTAGGGGTCGTCGTTTCTTTCGTTAGCGATGCCTGGTGGGTCCGCTCATAGTTAATTGTTGTTTCTGCAGCACAAACTACTTGGGTACATGACCGTCCACGTTGTAACAGATCTAAGAGTGATATTTAATATGCGCAGTGTGAAACATGTTGTGCCCTTCAGTGC